CGTTGGCTTTAACATCAAATGTATCTTGGTTAAATTGTAGAGATCTATGATGACTGGTATGCTTTTGAACAGTTTATACCTAAACACACAATACCACAATATCATGGTGAATCCATAATGGTACGGTGTTGCCTCCAGGCAACATTTGCATTTTAACAAATTTCCATTACCTAATTAGCAAATTAATTATATTAAACAAATTCAAACACTACGGTTGCAACACAGTCTCACGGCATTTCGTGTTATAGTCACGAAATTAATCTATTGATTTCGCCATTTTTTTCATGTCACACAGAACGATTTTAAAAGCAATGTAAATAATAACAAATTAGAAGGAAAAAGACATTTAAAAAAATACAGATTTAAGTATTCTGACACAGAACGATTTTAAAAGCAATGTATTTCTATTGGTAGTATGTTTCGTGCCTGCACCAAATAATAACAAATTAGAAGGAAAAAAAGATGACATAAAATACAGATTTCAGTATTCTGAGGCTCTGAGCCATTTCTTTTCCTCACTGACGGCAAAAAAACTCAGACATTATACAATTTAAAATAAAAGGGATAGGGTTAGGCTTAGGGTAAGATATTGAGTAAGAACATGTTTTTATGAACCACACAGCTTCCGGTCTTCCAAGACCCGACCGGACAAAAAGACGTGTTGCAGGCACGAAACATACTACCAATAGAAACACATTGCTTTTAAAATCGTTCTGTGTGACACGAAAAAAATGTGAAAATCGTGTTGGTGAACACGAATCAATAGATTAAATTAATTTCGTGACTAATAACACGAAATGCCGTGAGACTGGGTTCCTTATGGTCCTGCCTCTTTTTTAAAGTATTGCATCATCATTTGAGATGTATTGTGTGAATGTAAAAGGCAAAAAATGGGTATGTTGCCTGGAGGCAACATCATACCATAGAGGGTTAACAGCCTAAGTTCCTAGCATTCAGCATGATGGTTAGTGTGAGAGTCAACTGTGTGTGAAATAATGGACAGAACAGCAGCTGCTAATGTTTAAAAAGCTAAGCATCTGAAGTTGTTACAACCTTGTTCGAATTTGTATCAGTCGCACTCGGATATGGAGACACTGATAGTAGACACACAGTAAATAACACACTGATAACACATTCAAGTGTTTTATTTATGGTAATTGTGACTGTGTGCAGCTTTGACCCACTTTTAACTCCAGTTCTGTCTGTTCCTCTCCTCATTAATTCAATGTATGATGAAACATTTGCATCAAGGCTTTAGTGGGTTAATCTGTAGGAAAATCTAAATATTACATTTGTGTTTTCATTGGGATTTGGGTCTTTGAAGGGTAAAATAAATGTGTAATTAAGTATGCTGAAGAAAGTTTGATTTGGCATATTTTTTCACCCAGCTTCAAATCTGTATGCAGTGCTAAGGTTTCCAGGTTTGGTCTTTTAAAGATAAAACCAGGTTCCCCTTCAGTTTCACGCACAGTTTTGATCTGGATTGTTCCCACATGTGGCTCGTTTAATGTTTTGTCAAGTTGGTGAGGATGATTCTTTATTTTCTTGTGAGTTTTGGCACATTTGTGGTAATATATTTGCATCGTTTCTGAAGCTGTAGCGTGTTTCTCCTAATGGAAATTCTCTAGTGTGTTTGCACCTGTTGGCCTCCGTAATATAAACCTGGTATGATTTATTACCTAAAAGCTGTACACGGTTGTCCTTCTGCCCAGTATGTATCAACATGCATAGAAAGTGTTTGTACAGTATTTTGTTCATTTCCAAATCTTATTTTTTTTATTGCCCCAGATTTCTAAAAGCTGCAACCTGCCTAAACGAATAACTTGTGAAGTGTCAAGCCCAAATGTGTGATGACTCTCTTTAGGGTTTGGTCAGTATGATAACATCAGTTTCTGTAAACTGTTGATGCTTCATGCAGATGTGCTCGAGGTGATGTGTTCATAGCACATGAGTAGGGAGGAGAAAGAGCAGTCCATTGTCTAACTGCTTCCTTTCTGACGGGAAATGCGTTCCCTGTGGAGGACGACTGTATCTGCTGAGGAACCTGCGTATACATGCACACACTAAAAAAACATATGGACCTATTGTTGATAATCACAAGATACAGACTCTATCATTATGTGGACAGTATGATTTATAGGTCACAACCACAGCTCAGCAAATCCAATTCATCTGCTACTAAAGCACATCATGTGGCCTTGAACCTGTGTGAGCACCATAAAGCCAGCACTGATAACACAATGAATGTTTATGAACACACTGTCTCCTGTCTATAGGACTCTATATCATAGGACACAGAGAAATAGTTTACTATGAATTAATTCATTTGTATATGCCCCATGAAAACAGACAACCATTTACTGCCCCATCAACAAAAACATATTGCACTTCCAATCTGGTTTGGGGAGTATTTCCTGTGGTGGTCGACAGGTGCAAATACGTTGCAACGACTTCCATGAGGAGAAAGGCACTGCAGTTTCAAAAACGAGACAAATAAAATATCAACAACTAAAAGCAATGCAGCAACATCAACAAATATGCTGGAAGAAGGTAAAAACTCGATGGAAATGTACCTAAATTGTACGTTTTATTGGCTCATCTTAACAAGGTGATCACATTATTCCTTCTATTATTATGGAACTAACTCTGACAACAGTCACAACTGCAGCGCGTTCATCTTAATGGAAGTGTTTTGGGCTGTTGTAGCACGTTTGCACCTGTTCGCCACCATGTGATGCCCCTGTGTGTGACATCATTGAGTGCCTCTCGTCTCACTTGGTACTACTGAAGCTGCAGTGGCTCTAGTCTTCATCTCTCTCAGTGCCTTAACAGACAGACGTTGGTTTGGTGTTGTTGGTTTACCCTTTTGCTTTGTTTGCACTTAACAACATTGACACCCACCCACACACACTTCACTCGTGCTCATCGCACACCTCTGAGTCTACTGATCATCACATCCAATCTGTATGTTTAATTTGGTATCATTTGCTTAATAAAATATTGTTAAAACACATCATGTGGTCTCTTTTTGTCGTGAGCCAGGTCATGACACAACGTAATGTACAAATCTAGGTATCGATTTAAAAACAAGTAATGTAATCTGATTACTTTCCCTTATTTATGGCTAACCTCAATATCAAATGCAGTGCAAATTAATACAAGAAAAAGGAATTGCAACAGTTTCTTTCTTTTCAGTTTTATTTGTAAATGCATCTTCAATACAACAAAGACAAAAATATATAATATATCCACATGTACTGAAACGTTTAGTTATGTACACATTTAGGGTTTGCACTAGAAATCTTCACAACCACTGAATTGTGTTTTTAAGATCTGGTTTTCTCTGTGTTTCTCTGGATCTGCATATTTACATACATTCATAGGATGCGATAAAACACCTGTGTTCCCACAAGCGTTAACAATTCAGAAATTGAATGAAGGAATGATGCACAATGTTGTGTAACCCCTGCTTGTTTACATACATGAATCACAAATGGACGGCATCTTCAAACCCCGACATATTCACTGTGGGGTGTGCTACACAATGTTTGAGAACAATTACAAAGTATGGCCTCAAAAGAGATGTCGTGACTACATTCCCCAGAAGCCCTTTGCCCTGGTAGTTCATCGGTGTCACTTTACAAGGCTGTCAGGGTGTCTCCGGTAGCAGATAAAAGAAGGATTGAGGCAGATCTTGTGTCAAGTCATCAGCAAAATAATAATAATCATAATCATAGCAGACTGAGACATTCAGGGTCAATATAAGGACACGTTTTGAACAGTCACTTAACACCAATTTAGAGTCTGACTTCTCAAACCATTCAGATCGTCAGTAAGGATGTTGTGGTACAGTAAGGCCAGAAAAGCGATATACAAATAGTAGACCAGTAGCAAATATGGATGTATAAAGAGAACTGGATACAGCGTTTGAGGCGGGGGTCTCGTTAAATCTTATGAGAGCTAAGTTGCGAATATAGCCAAAAATGGGGAATCTATAGGTTCAGTTTTTTCAGTGTGGGCACTTGAGTTTGCCTTAAGCCCCGCCTCCCATATCTAAGCTCCACCTCTCATATTATAACCCCGCCTCTCCGTCTTAAGCCCCGCCTCCATCTCCCACTCATGGCTCAGTCAAATGAATGGAGAGGTCAAACAACCCAACTTTTAGACCCTAATAATTTAAATAAGTGCTATAAAAGTGTTCTTAGGGTTTCTAAGTCAATAAGAAACAAGTAGTTTGATCCCAATGGCATCCCGAACTAGAACTGAAGTTGTAGTACCATCGTTTGGCCACTACAAACATTTGCTTCAATGGCCGATGCTCTTCCTGGGGTCTTGGTAGCGGGTATATTCACATGATTTAGCTTTTAAAAAACAACAAACCAAGATCCTTTAACACTGATCACACGGCGGATTTAACACTTTTCACGTTTAGATGTCTTGTGAGGCTTCTTGATTCTGCTCCTCATGTCGCAGCAGGTTTACAAAGCTGCTGTGACATGTGAATAAAAAACTGGTCTGCCGTACTGTCAACGATTTGTGGAACAAGGCAGCAAAAACCCCACGGAGAGTGAAGAGTAATGAGGAACGTCCTCTGACTTCCTAAACTTTGCATAAGACGAGGAATGTCCACGACACTGGCAGCTTTCAGGGCGATTAAAGGCAGTCGTTTTGATCCAGGTAAAAAGGGACATGCAAGACTATAACTGATCCAGACTGAATGTACATAAGCTTATCTAACCTTCTGCGATAAGGAGAGAGGAGGAAAACATACGCTGACAGGATGTGTCAGTCTTTGCACAATAAATTAGCACAGGGGTGTCCAAACTTTTTTTGAATTGACCCTTTTGAATCGGCCCTCACGCTTGTCTTATATTGTACTTCTTAAATATATATGTTCAAATATTACACAGTATTCATGTGTGAATAAGCCCAATTTTCAAACCAATTCAGTCAATTCAAGTTGAAAACATGTTCTAACAAATCTAAGTTGAGCTGTGATGTAGGCTGTTTGTTTCTTAAAGCATTTTCAAGTATCAAGAATAATTTACCTACATTTGATTGATTTTTCCAACTTATAACAGAACTTATGATGCAATATACCTCTAGTGAGCGGCCCAGCCCTTCGTATATTTTTCTGTACGTGGCCCTCGGGGAAATAAGTTTGGACACCCCTGAATTAGGACAATCACAGAGCGATGAAACGAAAAGACAGGGCATGCTTCCACTCACACAACCCTCACATATAAGAGATGAACATTCACTCTGTGCTCCTGTTTCTGTCAGAGAGGTTTCAGCTTCAGATTACTGAGCGGACTGTCCGGCTGTTTCGTGGAAAGCGGTGGACTTTGATGTGTTTTGAGAGATGGTCACTGCGAGCGAATCTCTTCTCACAAACCGTACACTGGTAGGGCTTCACTCCTGAGTGGGAACGCCGGTGTCTGGACAGCTCATCTGACCGGGAAAACCTGGAGAAAAAGAAGCAATGTTTTATATTTGGGAAAGACATAGAGATGGCAAAAGTACACACATCCTTTCCTCAAGTAGAAGTACAGATACTCGTGTTTAAAAATACTCTGGTGAAAGTAGAAGTACTGACTGAACTTCTTTACTCAAGTAAAAGTAAAGAGGGCTTTGAAATGTACTTCAGTAAAAAGTACCCATAACTAGCAGCTGTTTTAAAGAGTACCTGACCTCCCTTTATATTAATAGAACAATAATGTCATTGTTAGCTAATGAATGTTTCCATGCTGAACAACGGCAACATGACAACGTTTTCATTGGTCCCTCTTCTTTAGAGAAGACCAGGAAATGATGGATACACGGATCGTGTTCAAATCAATAGGCACGCAATGACTCTAAATAATAATGATCACGCCACCAAACACACATTCAAACTAAAGGAACCAGCCGGTTTGGGAAATGTGAGAAGTAGAAAGTACAGGTATTTGAGTTCAACATGTAAGAAGTAGAAAGTACAGGTATTTGTGTTCAACATGTAAGAAGTAGAAAGTTCAGGTATTTGGGTTCAACATGTAAGAAGTAGAAAGTACAGGTATTTGTGTTCAACATGTAAGAAGTAGAAAGTACAGGTATTTGTGTTCAACATGTAAGAAGTAGAAAGTACAGGTATTTGTGTTCAACATGTAAGAAGTCAAAGTAAAAAGTCGTCAGAAAAATAAGTAGTGGAGTAAAGTACTGAAACCAGAAACATGTACTTAAATACAGTAACAAAGTATTTGTACTCCACTACTTCCCACCTCTGCAAAGACACATGGAGGAAAGTCAGGACTTGTGTCCAGGGTTACTTTAAAAATGTAATCTGTTACATTTACTTGTTACCTGTCAGAAAAGTGAATCTCACACACACTATTTTATGAACATATAGGTTCACCTGCTGAATTAAAAACAGAACAAATGAAGCAAAGAAAGTGAAAACCATAAAGCAGATGCAGGCAGTAGAAGTAGAGATTCACACTTAAAGTATTATCCTACAGAACAGAACAGCTGACAGAGAAGAGAGAACATCTGATCCTTTTACAGCAAACACTAGATGCTCCTTTGAGTTTTTCAGTGACATTGTAATGATACGGTTTTTCTTCCCAGTAACCCGGTTCTCTGAAACTGACGGCCCCCTGCCAGCTTCTGCAGGCCAGATGTTCCCCTGACAAGATGATGAATGGATCGACTGTAAAAACCTGCGTCGTATTGAGACACAACGAGCTACAGCTAGCAGCTAAAGTAACGCTGCTGCAGTCACGATGACGATGCAACACAAAGACACTGCCAATAACACCTAAAACACCTACACTGTACTTGCTAGTAACTGAAACAGCAGATTAAGTCAACACAGTGACTTTGGGAAAATGTATCAGTTATTTTCCACCATGTCCAGTTACTTCCTCAATAGTTTCAAGTTTCAAGACTTTTATTGTCATGTGTGCATAGCTACAGTGTAGATATGACAATGAACATCTGAGGTTACAGGCTCCTCCAACAGTGCAACACAATAAAACAGATACAATAGTGCAAGTAAATACAAAAGTGGACTTCTTAACACATGAATACTTCTGTGTAATATGTGTTTTCATCTACATTTGAGAAGTACACTACGAGACAAGCACAAGTTTCATTTGTGGGCCGTATTTCATTATACTCTTTGAATGTGTCATCCAGCATTCACCACGGGATGCATGCTGGACACATGTACAAACAGAGCAGCCTTAACAGATGTTTCATATGATGCGCTCAGTGAGGTAGCCACGTGTAACGGACCGTCCACACAGCAGCGTTAAAAAATCTTTGAATGGGGTGACGTCACTTTGCCTCACTTTTCGCCGAACTGCATTGTGGGCAGGCGAGCGGAGATTTTCAGGATTTTCAGGATTCAAAGTTGAACAATGTTCAACTTTTGAGGCTGAGGTGGAAGCGTCAGCCAATCAAATCCCGTGTACGCAAATCTGACAGTTCAAGCTCTAGCCAATCAAACGGCGTGTATGCTGGGAGAGACATACCGCAGGTCATTTCCTCATATTCCAAAAAATGGAGGAGAAATTAGCGGTAGGGAATCACCCGGTGCTTTATGACCAGTCCCTATTTACCTACCGGGATATAAACCGGAGGAGCCAGGCATGGAGGGAGGTGGCAGAGACAGTGGTAGGTTTTCGCCTGTTTGGGGAGTTTATATCCAGTTTACTTCGGGCTTTTTTGCTTCGTATGTCGCGGGCGGGAGATTCATGTGATTGGTTGTTGGTGCCTTGCTCGCAAAAAATCCCCAAGCTTCAGATACGCCCACCTCCAAGATTTTTTTAACGCTGCTGTGTGGACGGTCCGTTAGTGTGTTGGATCTTGGGTCGGCGTTTATATTGGTTTTGCCGATGTATTTGTGTGTGACCATGTTTTATTTAACGACCCCTCGAATCTTTTATTTTTACTGCCTACAGCAACTCAATAAAAACATGTTATATACAAACTGCGTTACTGTGTACTAGTGTCCTTGTGTTAACAGAAACACTGTCTCTGCCACTCTGAAGTCTGACCTTCTAACATCTGGTTTGGGATCTAAGATAAAACATCTCAGAAGGCTCGACTGTAGACCGATGTTTAATAGAAAATAGTATTACATGATTCTGCTTTCCTGTAGTGTGTTCTATAGGTTTTAGTGCATGTAAATGGTCTGTAAAGGCTAACATCCCTGTGTTCCCTCCTGAGGATTACCTGTTCTTTATATCAAATGCAAATAAATATTCGGGAAAGAGGGGAGATTGTCCCAAAGCCGCTGTTTTTACACCATCCACCTATAAAGAAGGATCCTCATTCATTCAGCTGAGAGTGAGACTACAGACGTCACTCTATTGACATGTATATAGACTTTTTGCACTACTTTTTATTTTGTATTGTATTATATATGTCGCATCATTGGAGGAGCTCAGGTCAGAAGAATGTCATTACCATTTCTACACTGTAACTTTGTGCACATGACAATAAAACCTTTGAATGTTGAAATTGAATCCTTGAATCACACTCTGTAGGGGTCCGTTTGGAATTGGGCCTAAGAGGTCAAACAAACTACTAAACATGTGAAATTAGACATTTTGGGTCCACCTAAAGAGCCTCTTTGCTCCGTACAGTGTGAATATAAAGTACAGTATAATGCCCCCCCCCCCCTCTGGTCTATGTGAGCGAACCCTCTCTTCTCTTGTATGCAGCGTAGCGTTCCTAGCCCACAGTCATGGTAACTATTCAACACTTTGTCTATGTTCGCTCCACTTCTTCACTGCTGCTGCCTTCAAGTGATTGTGTGCAAAACTGAAACAGGCCGTTAACCCCCCCCCCCCCCCCCCCCAACACTATCATCTTCTCTCCACCACCAGCACCTCTCCCTCTGCTCCTCATCCATCCCTTTGCTACACAATGTTTCCTATTTGTCTTGCTTTGTTCGGCCCCCCTTCATTTACCCCATCACATACAGTGGGTCACACACAGACACACACACACACACACACACACACACACACACACACACACACACACACACACACACACACACACACACACACTGGTTCTCACAAACACTTCAATCCAAACTACATCCTGCCTTTTGTGTACAGACAAGAGCCCTTTGTTTGTGGGGAAACACAGCCTGGATCAACGCTGCACACATTTCTGCAGCGAGGATGCACTCAGCATCACAAGCGCAGTTACACTCAGCCTTAAAGGGATATTATCGATCACTCAGAAGAACGTGCACGCATTACAGGAGCTCATGTTTGAGTGAATGCTTAAAGCAGGAACTCCTCAGGGCTGATCTTTGCAGGCTGTGTCAGGTAAAAGTCAAATGACATATCGTCTTACTGGCTGGGATACTTTTGACTCACATGTTCATGCAAGTCATGTAAACATGCCGTATGTATAGATCCGTGCACGCATGCTCTTGCCCTATTGTATCTGTTTTATTTGTTCTTTGTCCTATATATATTCATGTTACTCTGTTGGAGGAGCCTGTGACTTCAGTTTGTCATTGACATATCTACACTGTAGCTAATGTGCACATGACAATAAAGCCTTGAATCTTGACACACACACAGGTTTAAGAACTGAGTGTGTGTGTGCAGCATTAAAGCAGTACTACGCCAACAGTGTCGTTTTGGGGTTATATCCATACATTGAGTGTGGAGACAAGACTAGTATCAGGGAGTAGCAGAACATCGTTATACAGATTTCCCTGAAATAACACAAACTTCCTGTTGTTAGCATGTTAGCGAGCCTGTTTATGACGTGAAGGCTTTTGACTATGTTATTTTCGCTTAAATTGTTCTGTTAAGCTGACCTTATTGGTTTAGATAACATCAATCAATCAAACCTCCCACTGTCCTGCTGTTCTTCCCTCAGACTGTATAGTTATTACTGACTTCTGGACTAACCACAGACATTTCGTCTCAGTCATGGACTGACGATGCTCTCCTGAAGTCAACGGTACAGCAGGGAAAACACTGCAATTGATTTTCGACTTCAATTAGTTTTTCTTTGACCTGGGGATTTCCGTTGGTTTGCTGTGTGTACGGTTACAGGAGAATCGCTTGTTGTTGAGTTAAAGGTCCCCTATTATACTGTTTTTCATTCATATATTGTAGTTCTCAGATATATACAGAACATGTCTCTGAAGTGTTTGGCTCCAAACACCAAACAGATCATTGCAGCATCCCATAATCCCCTCTGTTTCAGCCCTGTTTCAAAAGTGCTGATTCTGTGTCTGTAGCTTTAAATGCTAATGAGCTGCTGTTGGCCATACAATACATGAAAAAGTGGATTTTGCATAACAGGTGACCTTTAAGTTGGTTTAGGACATGGTTAGCTAGCTACAGTCATGAGAAATAATCCAGTAAACAATGTAATGCAATGTACCCAAACACCAGTTGGTTCAATTTAGGTTTATTAATCGGCAGCTTGGGAATAGCTTTGGGCTTTCATTTCATTTCAAACCTTTATTTATCCAGGTGTATCCCATTGAGATCTCTTTTTCAAGGGAGACTTTCTCAGGCAAAGGGTAAAAACCAGAAGGTTACAGCTGCTCTGCTCAAAATGATCGACCAAAGCCAGTCCATGTTGGCCTCTAGATAAACTAATAATGTTTGCATTTCAATACGTTTGTGGGGAAAACAATCATCTAAAGTTTAATATAGAAATTGACGTGCCATCTCGCTCCCTCTCACTCTGCTGGAGGGTTGTCGCTTTTAGCAATCAAACGTCGAACAAGTGAAATATTCCACGTGTAATGATGGGTTAGGATTTACAATTGTTCAGTCACTACCACAGGCAGTTATATAGTGAGTGTTTGAGCACTACAGGCAGTTATATAGTGAGTGTTTGAGCACTACAGGCAGTTATATAGTGAGTGTTTGAGCACTACAGGCAGTTATATAGTGAGTGTTTGAGCACTACAGGCAGTGCCTTGTACCCTCGACACAAAGCTCTGCCCTCTGATTACATGCCCTACTGCCCGTCAGTAAACAGGACGGATGTTGCTCTCTTTGTGGAGGGAACTAGCGAGCTGTGCTGAACGATGAAGCATCTGAGAAACATTTGGGTTTTAAATGCTTGTTTGTTTGTTACTGAAGTGAAGCGGAGGAGGCAGGTTAATGAACAAAGACAGGTAGACTTTACAACACAGTTTAGGAGAGGCCATTTGTTCCAATACATTTGAATAGATTATCCACAATATTATTCAATATTAATCAATAGTATCATTTGTGTGTTTGTCCATCCTGAGGAGACACCAGGTCTACAGAACATGTCTGAGGCTGTGACGCTTATTTAACCAGTAGTCAAGTACACGTACACGTACACACACACACACACACGCACGCACCCTCGCACACAAACACACACACACACACACACATAAACACACACACACACTTCCAGGCTGATGAAGACATCCGCTTTTCTCGATTACACGGAAGCTGTTAAAAATTAGATCTCGCCACGTTATACTTAGAATACACGAGTACACACAAACACACACACAAACAACACACACACACACACACACACACACACACACACACACACACACAACACACACACACACACACACACACACACACACACACACACACACACCACACACACACACACACACACACACACACACACACACACACACACACACACACACACACACACACACACACACAGAGACACTTTTACTGCCCCAGCAACTGCACAGCTGTCTCTCCATGTTGTGCCCATGTGACTTCGGCCCACACGCTCTGTCCCAGATTTAGTTTACATCCCCAAAAAAAGACACCCCAGCTATTCCTGTACGGAGATCTCACCGCCTGACGAGATGTGAGATTGAACAAAATAACCCCACTTCACATGTTCCAATTAACACCTCGCAAGCTGCAGTCATTAAGATCTCTTCAGCTCAAGGGCTTAAGGAAGAAACAACATATTGAAGGTTTTTCTTGGCTTTGCTTCGACGGATCTTTAAATAACTTTGAGTCTCATAGCTTTCCACAAAACTGAAATCCAGTAAGGACTTCCATGTTTTCTCTTATACACAGTTGTAAAGGAGGGTCTCAATGTTACTAGACGACCCTGAGAGAGATAGGTCAGTTACATTTTGCTGCACACTTTTTCCATTGAGCAACATGACACCCTGCTCAGCACATAGACATGTTCACTGACATATAATTACTGCTTCTTCCCTAACAGGCCACACTAACACATGGGGGTTAAGCCCCTTTTAAATCATGCACACACACAGTCTGCTGTCATTGCCTTGCAGTCAACATGTGTCCTTGTGCAAAATACTTAAACCCAAAACTCTCCCTACACATGTCTACGGTATTAACAGAGATGGCAAAAGTACACACATCCTTTACTCAAGTAGACGTACAGATACTCATGTTTAAGAATACTAGAAGTAAAAGTACTGACTAAACTTCTTTACTCAAGTAAAAAGTACCCATAACTAGCAGCTGTTTTAAAGAGTACCTGACCTCCCTTTATATTAATAGAACAATAATGTCATTGTTAGCTAATGAATGTTTCCATGCTGAACAACGGCAACATGACAACGTTTTCATTGGTCCCTCTTCTTTAGAGAAGACCAGGAAATGATGGATACACGGATCGTGTTCAAATCAATAGGCACGCAATGACTCTAAATAATAATGATCACGCCACCAAACACACATTCAAACTAAAGGAACCAGCCTGTTTGGAAAATGTGAGAAGTAGAAAAGTACAGGTATTTGAGTTCAACATGTAAGAAGTAGAAAGTACAGGTATTTGTGTTCAACAGAGTAAGAAGTAGAAAGTACAGGTATGTGTGTTCAACATGTAAGAAAGTAGAAAGTACAGGTATTTGTGTTCAACATGTAAGAAGAAGAAGTACAGGTATTTGGGTTCAACATGTAAGAAGTAGAAAGTACAGGTATTTGGGTTCAAAATGTAAGAAGTAGAAAGTACAGGTATTTGGGTTCAACATGTAAGAAGTAGAAAGTACAGGTATTTGTGTTCAACATGTAAGAAGTAGAAAGTACAGGTATTTGTGTTCAACATGTAAGAAGTAGAAAGTACAGGTATTTGTGTTCAACATGTAAGAAGTAGAAAGTACAGGTATTTGTGTTCAAAATGTAAGAAGTAGAAAGTACAGGTATTTGTGTTCAAAATGTAAGAAGTAGAAAGTACAGGTATTTGTGTTCAACATGTAAGAAGTAGAAAGTACAGGTATTTGTGTTCAACATGTAAGAAGTCAAAGTAAAAAGTCGTCCAGAAAAATGTACTTAAGTACAGTAACGAAGTATTTGTACTCCACGACTTCCCACCTCTGGGTAATAAAGTGTATATCAGTTGTATCGGATAAAAGCGTCAGCTAAATAACATATACTTTAATTTAATATACTAACAGCTTAGTTGAATACTCGATTCTGATTGGTAAATTTGGACATTCGAGAGGTTGTTATTTTTCGCTAACAGACCGTTGTTAAGGAGGGTAAAAGGGGACTTTCTGCAAGTGGATTCATGATAGCTAAACTCTCCCCAGGAAATAAAAATAAAAAGAGAAGACGAGAAGGAAAGAGGCTTAAAAAGAGAGCTGGGCGTCAGATAAATCAACAGAAGAAGTCAGACAGGAAGTAAACTCTAACAGGAACACAGTATGGGCTCTGGCAGTGTTTAAAGACTGGTTAATGGAAAATAAAATGTGAACAGACTTGGACAGTTATAAAAAAAAAACTCGATCAGTTCTACCGTCATTTCTAAATGACGCTGCTGTCGCCACAATTCCCAATCACCCTGTATTCGTAAATCTAATCTGAGTCCTATATGCTTAGATAACCTAAACATCGAAACCTGTAGGTGCAGATCATTCTACAAGTGAGGTGAATGTTAGACATTGTGACCCTTTAAGTTTATTTATTTATTTTTATTATATATAGTATTTTGTATGTTCTTTCCCACTAGGGTTAGGGTTAGGGTACTATGTATGTCATTAAGTATGGTATTCCTGTCATGCTATGTTTTTCTTTATTATTTCTTGTTGGCTGTTCTGTTTGTCTTCATTGAAAAAGGGAAGCATGATTTCCACCCCAAAGAAGTCTGTACTATTGCTTACACTTATATGCTTCTTCTCAATACAAATATTTGAAAGAATGTTAGACATTGTGTTCAAATGAAAGTCACCAGGACTCACCTCCATCCACAGCCCTGCCAGTTGCAGGCGAAAGGCTTCTCCCCCGTGTGCCTCCTCAGGTGAGCCTTCAGGTGGCTGCTCTTCGTGTACATCTTGGTGCATCCAGGAAAAGTACATTTGTGCATTTTGATAATATCCGCCATGGGGTTCTTCTGGAACTTTTGACCTCCGATGAGAATCCCCAATCCGTGGTTGGCCGATCCATCGCCGAGTCCCAGAGGTTTGGATGCAATGGGAACGGGAGCGATGCGAACAAACTTTGAGGAGACGTTCAGGCTGGGGTTGGGCAGGATGTGAGGCACCAGAGCAAAGGTCTGGCCCTGGATGTTGACTAGAAGCTGTGCGATTTTGATGTCTGAAGATGGGGATGTCGGAGATGTTGGTGTTAAAGGCGCTAATGTCGGCTCCTGCTTGATCTGAAGAGGCTGAATCGGCACAATGACCGCTGAAGGCTTGTTGGATGATGCCTTCTTCGACTCTTTGCTGGATTCATGTGAGCCGATTGATGTGGTTTCACTGGAGGCATCAGTGGGGACGGTTTGGTCTGAATGTTGGGTTTCTGGTTCGATTTTAGGCACGGTAGAGGCGTCCCTGCACCACTCCAAACCAACTCCAAGACCAAGAGCCTCTTCCAGTCCCAACGCCAGACAACCCTCTCTGATTTCCTGCTTCATCGTTACCACTTCCATATTCTCCTCCAGGAACTCTTCGATCTCCTCCAACGTGGGCTGGAAAGAGCCTCCAGGTTGTTCCTCCGCCTCCACGTTGGACCAGGTGAGGAAGTCAAACTGTTCCTCTTTGACATCTCTCCGGGGGTCACAGAAGAAAGAGGATATTTGGGCCACAGATCCTGAAGGCACAGCTCCTCCGAGCGAGGCCTGGGCCAGTAAGTAATCGAGCATACTGTCATGACTCTCTGTGCTAGAGTTGCTTCCATAACTGGAGCTGAGAAGCTGGGAATCGGGACTTGAACAGGACCGAGGGCTGGAGGACTCGCTAAGGTCGTCCTCCGAAAAAGGCGAAGGCATCACCTGGTAGGAGCTCAGGTCCGTCACCATGTAGACCTTCGGAGATCCAGGGTAAGGAAAAGTCTCCTCGCTAACCGGAGAGTTATCCACCATCCCTGGAGCGTACCAACCCGCTGTCTCCTGCTATGTTTTTAGGATGAATTGTGAGATAATTATCCCCTGGGAAAGTTAGGCCCAAAAATAAACCTCAGGTCAACAAGGGCACTCTCTCCCAATCGAGGTGAGATAGTGGAACACCTGGTGTGCTCTCTCACAGTGGAAAAAAGTAGCTCCAAGGTCTCCAATCAGGATAGCGTGTGTCTACAGGGAAATAAACACAGACATAACATGCATTATTGTTTTGATTGCCTGTACTACATGTTTTAATTCTTATTCTACCACAATGAGGCTATCCTTCAATGACCTCTTCATATTTAATATATGAATTATAGATCCAGTTGTGGAAGAAGCAATCAGACTTTAGTGAAAGTAGAAATACACTTTTTAAGTACTGATAACATTTTAACATTACATAACATTTTCAAAGTAACCCTCGCGACCCTGGCTGTTTCTATTTGCTTCTCACCATGTATTTATCACTCAAATAAACAGTATTTTGTTTCACTGTAAAGTATTTATTTTTACATTCTGTTCTCGGTGGTCTTCTATTCTATGTAACATATATAGGCTCCTGCACTTACTTGGTCACTTAAAACATCCTCTGTACCATCTATCTTATTGTATTTCTTTTTAGTTTACCTCTTTTGCATTCATTGCCATTGGTCTTGCACTATTTCATTTTACTCTGTTCTTCTTGCACTATTTAAATGTGTTTTATGGTTTAATGTCTTATATATATGTATGTTGCATTGTTGGAGGAGCCTTAAGTTTCTCATTGACGTAAATACACTGTAGCTACTGTGGAATATGACTATAACGCTTTTGATCTTGTGGTTGCTCATCATGTGGATCAACAGCAGTAGGAGTAACCCTCTTCACATTTCTTTTTATACAGTATACACTTCACAAGAAGTAGGTTATTTTCCTGGAGGTCACACCCTGCCTCTATACACCCCCCACCAGGGCCCCTGCATGGTGACCGGGAGTAAACCCTCCAGAGGAGAAACTGTCAACACTGGATCAGAAACACCGCGCTGCGTAAATCAGCTGCTGCTCTGTTTACAGGACAGAGAGGAAGAGAGAGGATAACCCATCACTCCTTAGATTTATCATGGAAGAGAGGATCTTTGATAACCCATCACTCCTTAGATTTTTATTGTACAATGGCATGTCTTTTATGCTGCTGCAACGCAAACATTTCCAAAATTGGGATCAATAAAGTACCATCTTATCTTATCTATCATGGAAGAGAGGATATTTGATAAGATAGATAGATAGATAGAGAGAGAGAGAGAGAGAGAGAGAGAGAGAGAGAGAATAGATAGATAGATAGATAGATAGATAGATAGATAGATAGATAGATAGATAGATAGATAGATAGATAGATAGATAGATAGATAGATAGATAGATAGATAGATAGATAGATAGATAGATAAAGACACCAGAAATAAACAATCCAAACCTATAACCTATCACTCCTCAGATGTATCATGGAAGAGAGGATATTTGATAACCCATCACTTCTTAGATTTATCATTTCAGCCTGCAGGCACACTTTGATTCATTTCCACAGATCTATAGTACTTCACATGGGCATGCATTTGTAAACACAATCAGACACATAGTTAAAGAAGATACATTGTAAGAAAAACGACCAATTTAATAGGTTTTATTTTTAAAACCTATTAAAAAAACCTATTATAACTAATAAAATTAAATATATATATATAATAATAACAGAAAATACTCGTTATAATAAAATGAAAGATGTGCAGTATTGTTGGAAAGCTGTGCAGATATTAATAGAAACTCATTAAATTCAGAAAGACTCATTAAATGTCATTCTTTCCAGTTATAACCATGTTATTTTGCAGGCAGCATGGGTCCGAAAACTTAAAACCCCATCACATGCACAGCTACAAACATGAAACCATTCAAATGTCATTCATTCACATGTTGTTGTAGTTAAACTGCAGCATTGCAAAAATCCAAACGCCATAATAATCCATAATATCGGAGTGTGTGGTGTTTTCTTCCCGCAATGCATAACGCATGAGTAGGCGCGCGCGTCTGCACTCCCAACGTAAACATGTTTTCGTCCAGCGCGCTGCAGCATATGTGCGACCCTGAACGCACCACGACATCAAATGATCACCCTTACCTTGCTCAGTGAAAAAGAGAATAGTATAATCCCAATGCAAAATACGCAAGGTGTTGTGTTTGTATCCGAAAAAGGGGGTCGGGGTTTAAAGACTTTGCCCTTGAGCCTCCATGCAGCAGAAGCAGCGTTCACTGACTGAGGGTTGCTCTCAAGATCTACTATATGACCGTCACATGACTCCAGTGTTACTGTAGTGAGAAATAAGAGGCTGCAGCTGAAGGCTCGACCAAGCTCTGCAACCTCATTGGTCGATGCCGGTGGAAGGAGGCGGGACCCGTTGGCCTGTCAATCAAGATGCCTCTTACTCTGCTGCGTGGAAAAAAATGTGGGTCGGTCGCCTCTGAAGGAAGCAGCCAGTTACAACCTGTTCTCAGGAGGATACATAACAATCAGGGAGTAACGGATTACATGTAAATGGGATTATGTAATCAGCATTAAAAATACAAGTTAACTGTATTCCCTTAGGCAAGGCATGTTTATTTATCAAAGACAAAGTCAAAGTCAACTTTATTTTCAATCTTTCTGTTTGTGTGTACAGACCTATGGTACAGACAGAGAGATCGAAATACCGTTTCCCACAATCCTGAATACAAAAATACAAATATATATATATAATGTTAATCTTTAAATAAATGTAACTCCATATAAGAAAGTCAAGAGAGCATTGCCTCAAATGTTGAAGGATACTCTTTTTATTTGCACTTTACACATTATGAGAGGAAGAACAGGACAATTCATGAAACTTGTAAAAATGACAAAGGTCCAATTTCACCTTTTGAAAAGCTGCTGGCTGCTGGTGTTTCACTCTGTGTCTGTGAGTTAACCAGCATGGTGTTGGACAACTTAAAGAAGTTTAGGCTAGCTAATATTTAAAAAAGGTTTGAACGCCTTCGTGATGAAGGTGTTCAAACCTTTTTTTAATGTTCAGACTCATCTCAATTATCAGCGCGCTCCTCACCAACATAACACATATACTTATCGGTATTTAGATACTGAGCAATCAGGTACCGGTACCAAATTAGTACCGGTTTCCGATTTCTTGCTGTTCTGAGTTTGATTTATTTTATTGTGAGTTGAATTGGAGTAAATGTTATGTAATGTAATGTAAGCTCTGTGGGTCAGTGTGGGTCAGAGTATCAGAAACACTTCCTCTCACAGAGGAACTCAGTCTCTCAGGAACAATGAGGATGAAGCAGCTCAACAGGAAGCGTTTGAATGTTAACGTGCTGTTTGTTACCATACTCTCACAGAGTTAGTTGTTATGGGAATGGCAGCGATTAGGGTTTGGCTCTGAGTCTGCAGACGTTTTCACTTCACATTTTGACGCCTGGAGGAAGTTCCTGATCTGAACTCTGAGTGTGTTTGTAATTCTTCTCTCTGTGTTTGTGTTCGTGATTACATGGAGGGACTGGCTGTTCTGCTTTCCTGTTGAGAAAGGGAGAGTGAGGAGAAAAGATGGAAGGGTAAACAAAACATGCAATCGATTGTACACAATGAAATAAGTGCTGAACACATGTAGGATCATTAAATACAGAACTAGATATTTATTTTCTTTACTTTTACTACTTTTATGTAGTGATCTATAATCAATATCACACATTCTGCTCCAGGAGACTTGTATTTAGTACAGTAGGTGCATTAAGCATCTAACCAGAAGTGCAGAATAAGCACTGCAGAGTTATTTATAGTTATAATAACATAATTAGACATATATAAAAAGTACATAGTATGAACAGTATGTGTATAAACAGTAGTATATCAATTGAATGCAGTACAGAGTTGGTAGTAATATAGACATTATAGACCGTTATTGACACTTTTATAAATCATATGAATAAATATGAGTAGCAGATATAGCCATTCGGACAGTTTCATCAGCGGTTGTGTTTGCAAAAATGAGTCTTTCTTGCATTCTTAAACAGTGATTTATCAAATATCACTCAGACAGCAGGAAGTAGTGCATTTGTTTGGGACTTTTTTCAGCGGCGGATTAATCCACATCAGGTGCAAGGCAAGGCAAGTTTATTTATATAGCACATTTCAACAGAAGGCAATTCAAAGTGCTTTACAAAAATGAAGGACATTAAAGGTGGGGTAGGTAAGTTTGAGAAACCAGCTCGAGATCGCTAGAATTTGAAAATACACAGCCGGAAAAAATCTGCCACTTCCTTACAGAGCCCCTCCTCCAACACACACGAACGCGCACATGACCAATGAGGGCACGAGATAAGTTTGTGCACAGATGGAAGGCTGACAGGCAGGTAGGCCATCCAGTTATTTTAGCCGGGCCGGCTCAGATGATTGGTCGTGCTTTTTACAGTACTACGGCTTCCACAGATGACATTTTTTTATGGATTTTTTGTCAAAGCCCTGAAGATATTCATTGCTATCGGGATGTTAAGAGCATTCCATGGAATATAACAAAAAGTGTATCTCGAGCCGGTTTCTCAAACTTACCTACCCCACCTTTAATAGCATGAAGAAACATATTATGAAATTATATCTAGAAACACTCATTTAAAAGCAAAGATACATGAATCACAGTTACAGTGCAGTGTGAGATACACACATCTGAACGAACCCCCCTTTGGAAAATGATAATCTGACCCCATGGTACCTTTTAGTTTTCGCCGAAACTATTCCTCTTTTTTATTTTTAAATGCACATAGTTAAGTTTACCTTGTCTTTCTAGGACTCTTTTGGTGTCCTCCGCGAACCAGGGTCTTGAAACCAAAACGGCACACGTAGGGGACTTTAACCCCAATAATGACTTTGACTACCTTTGGGGGGACAAAAACGTTAAAAACGTCTAATGAGTGACATCCCATGTTAAAATAATTACTTTTATTTGTTTCATTCTTAAATTGAGCAACAAACCCAATTTACCCCGGGATAAATTAAGTATTTTCATTCTGATTCTGATTGAATACCTGCTAGATCCATTCAATGTTGGTATGCATCTTTCCACAGAATGGTTGATAAGACATCTTTGGTCATTTTAAAGATCTCCTATCATGCTATTTTTAGGCATATATTATAGGTCTCAGATATATAGAAATATATAAAACATGTCTATGATGTGTTTTTCTCAAAATACAAACAGATCACCCATTCTAGACATCCCTCATATCCCTCTGTTCCAGGCCTGTTATTAAAGTGCTGATTCGGGGTCCTTAGCTTTTTTTATTTCCTGCTTCTTTACACATGCTCTCTGCAGTACAGGTTAGCTCTGAGTGTTAGCGATGCTAATGTAAACAAAGACCATATTACGTCCAAAACACGTCACTCATTGTTTCGCAACGTTTCTGATAGGGCCGTGGGTCCACATTTCAGATATTACGTCATATCGGACGCAAATCTGGACCAGCTCCGTTGTTCACCCCCGTTTTTAGAGATGTGGGTACGGAGGAAAAGAGAGAGGGTTGTGTTTTCTGACACTTTGTGAGTTCCCCTGACACACCGGGGACACATATCTATGTATAAAAGACATACAAAAGCGCATTTTGCATGATAGGAGACCTTTAAATCAGCTGATGCATATCCTGCAGGTCTTCTCTAACTACGACCCCTCCCTTTCTGCAGTGACGGATCAGTGAAGTGCTTGACCCGGCTCAGCTCAGCTCAGTACAGAATCCATTACAGTAACTGGAGGATATTACGGCTAACATGTTTGCCAGTCTGACCCCACTTGACCTTTTAATCCAGGCATCAAACAGCTGGAGCCAGAAGCCATGAGCGGGTCACTGTGTCTGCAGCTGAGAGGATGATAAGTCGAGTCCTCTGACCTACTTCCTCTCTCCCCAGGGATGCTCTCAGACTCTCATTACATGGTAGATGTTGAAATGTGGTTTGACTTTCCCTCCAGAGAAGACGAGGCTTTTTTGTCGAGATCCTGGTCATCTTGTCGGTGTTTTTCTATCATTAATGATGAACTGCACAAATGTTAAAAATGTATATTCAAAAAGTATTCCATGAGGTTATCCAATGGATTAGTGCAGAGAAACCTAACATATTTTATTTTGGTCGCAGCTGAGGTTAAATTGACCGTCCTCCTTTCTGCAGATTCATATAAATGCACGTCTTCCTTAGCAGCGGTCTGCTATCGAGATATAACAGACCGTATAGAATATCGAAGATGACCAATCAGAATTGAACATTCAACTAAACTGTGTGATAACTAAATGTTATACTTGAGTTTGGGATTTGATAACCACATCTTGGCAGAAAAAGCACACAACTTACTAATGACACGCTGATATTACATCATGTCACCGAGTCCTGCAGCTCTCAGTAAAGCAGAAATCATTCATTACCAGATGTGACGTAGAACCAGGTGTTTTCAGGTTGTGAGTCTGTGTGTGTGTGTGTGTGTGTGTGTGTCTGTGTGTGTGTGTGTGTCATCATGGCAATCAGTGTTGTAATATAATAAAGTACATTAACTCAAACTACTGTAGTATGATTTTGTGCTACTAGTACTTTTAATATGTCCATGATATGCTTTACTTCTACGTGACGCATTTTGGTAGCTAATATTCTACTTTTTACTCCACTACCACTAAACCTTTAATTAAATATTTAGGATTAGCCAAATCAAAATATAATTCACGTAATAAATAGACACTGACATAAACGCATATGTTAAGATCCAGCAGCAGTATATAAAGTAATTAAACACAACTTTACCAGCTGTTATGATCACATGAATGCATCTATAATCATATCCCAGTCATTTAATAAATATGATTCTTAAATGAGGCCATTACGGTTAACGAGTACTGTTACTTTTGGCACTTTAGGTATTTTTTGATGCCGGTCCTTTTGTCATTTTACTTCAGTAAGACTTTGAATACACAACCTTTACAATTGAGTATGTCTGCTTTAACCTTTAAGTTGGAAATCTGAGTACTTCTACAACCACTAACGGAAGCAGTGGGAAACGCTGAATGACTTTGATGCCATCTAGTGGTCAGAAATGGTACAGCAGGGCACTTTGAGATATATGGAGGAAGGACAGTTGGAACAAAGGCTTCTGGGAAATGTGGACTACATTCAGCACACTGCACAGATATAACAAAAGAGCCCCAATTTCCTCAATAACTTTATAAACATGTCAAATAATAAGAACGGTTTAAATGTCTGCATCCTCAGATCTGAATTCATTTTGTATTTTGATTGAATTGCACAATAAACCATAGTGTCGTCTTTCCTCTATATCTCTGCTACCTGAAGAATTGCTGTATGCTGCACTGATTGTAAATCCCTGAGACTAATGTGTGACTTGCTCCAGCTCCAAAAATGTGATTAAAACTCACTTTGGGATTTTAGGCTTTGCAGACCATTGACATGCAAAAAAGACCTAAAGAACACACTACTTCATCTTTAAGGAAAGTGAAATGAAGGCCTCCTCACAAACAGTTCTGATTGTGCTTTGATTCTTTAATTCATCTCTGTGTTTGGCTCTGCCATTCTGTAAACCCACAGCTTCATAATAAATAATAAACAAATACAATTGTTACAAGAAGGTAGTAGTAACTCATGACAAACTGTATAAAGACACACGGACAGGCATGTTTTCAACATCTCACCGCCGCCGCCATAGAAAAATAAATCTAACAAACCGTAAGAAATGAAAGTAGCAACAGATAAAGCAGACGACCCCCGACCCCCCAGGAGGAATGCACAGCGTGAGGCGTCTGTAAGGCAACTGGAGCGTAGACAGCGCTGTGTGTGTGTGAGCATCGGGCTCTTCATTACATGTGTACCTTTATTCAAACTGAATATCAAAGGTACGAGCGTAGACAGCTGTGTGTGGTGTGTGTGTGTGTGTGTGTGTGTGTGTGTGTGTGTGTGTGTGTGTGTGTGTGTGTGTGTGTGTGTGTGTGTGTGTGTGTGTGTGTGTGTGTGTGTGTGTGTGTGTGTGTGTGTGTGGTGTGTGTGTTGTGTGTGTGTGTGTGTGTGTGTGGTGTGTGTGTGTGTAGTGTGTGTGGTGTGTGTGTGTGTTGTGTTGTGTGTGTGTTGTGTGTGTGTGTGTGTGTGGCCACCATGGAATAGACACCGTTACAGGAACAGAGAGCCTCGACACGAAAACGCTCCCAGGTTGGATTTTGGTACAAAGTCATCTTTAAAAATATGATCATCTTCTGAACCAACGGAGCTCATCTCCTGTTGTCAAGGTGCATTTCAGGGGACTCGTGTCCACCCCCTCCCAAAACCACAGTCCATAAAAGGCTTTCCAAAGTCCTGGGACAACTCAAACATCCCATAATGTTTATCGGTGTGAACTCTGCGCTGCTCACTCCAAGTCCTGGAGGTTGATTGTGCTCCCTGTGAACTGAGAGTTATCAGAGTTGTTGTCGTCCTCCGTCATCACTGAAGGTTCCTGAGGAGAAACAGATAAAGAGATCAGTCCATCTACTTTAAAACTAAGGGTCCCTGTTGTTACCAAGGGATGTTAAAGAGGACATCTCTACTTTAAAGAGTCCTCTCCTGCTGATGTTCAGGTGTATATCAGTATGTAGTGTCTCTACTTTAAAGAGTCCTCTCCTGCTGATGTTCAGGTGTATATCAGTATGTAGTGTCTCTACTTTAAAGAGTCCTCTCCTGCTGATGTTCAGGTGTATATCAGTATGTAGTGTCTCTACTTTAAAGAGTCCTCTCCTGCTGATGTTCAGGTCTATATCAGTATGTAGTGTCTCTACTTTAAAGAGTCCTCTCCTGCTGATGTTCAGGTGTATATCAGTATGTAGTGTCTCTACTTTAAAGAGTCCTCTCCTGCTGATGTTCAGGTGTATATCAGTATGTAGTGTCTCTACTTTAAAGAGTCCTCTCCTGCTGATGTTCAGGTGTATATCAGTATGTAGTGTCTCTACTTTAAAGAGTCCTCTCCTGCTGATGTTCAGGTGTATATCAGTATGTAGTGTCTCTACTTTAAAGAGTCCTCTCCTGCTGATGTTCAGGTCTATATCAGTATGTAGTGTCTCTACTTTAAAGAGTCCTCTCCTGCTGATGTTCAGGTGTATATCAGTATGTAGTGTCTCTACTTTAAAGAGTCCTCTCCTGCTGATGTTCAGGTGTATATCAGTATGTAGTGTCTCTACTTTAAAGAGTCCTCTCCTGCTGATGTTCAGGTGTATATCAGTATGTAGTGTCTCTACTTTAAAGAGTCCTCTCCTGCTGATGTTCAGGTGTATATCAGTATGTAGTGTCTCTACTTTAAAGAGTCCTCTCCTGTTGATGTTCAGGTGTATATCAGTATGTAGTGTATCTACTTTAAAGAGTCCTCTCCTGCTGATGTTCAGGTGTATATCAGTATGTAGTGTCTCTACTTTAAAGAGTCCTCTCCTGCTGATGTTCAGGTGTATATCAGTATGTAGTGTCTCTACTTTAAAGAGTCCTCTCCTGCTGATGTTCAGGTGTATATCAGTATGTAGTGTCTCTACTTTAAAGAGTCCTCTCCTGCTGATGTTCAGGTGTATATCAGTATGTAGTGTCTCTACTTTAAAGAGTCCTCTCCTGCTGATGTTCAGGTGTATATCAGTATGTAGTGTCTCTACTTTAAAGAGTCCTCTCCTATCTGTATTTGATAGTTTTAGTCACCTGTAAGATGTTGACGGGCAGATCTGCAGTCAGCTGGGCGTGAGAGCTGGAGGGCTGAGAGCTCAGCTGGAAGGCCAGGTCTCCATCAGTGGGAGGGTCATCCTGCACACACAGACACACATTCATTTATTATTATTTTTTATAATCAGATGTGTGTATATGTGTGTGTGTGTGTGTGTGTGTTATAAGGTGTGTATGTTATAATCAGGTGTGTGTTATAATAAGGTATGTGTGCTATAATCAAGTGTGTGTGTGTTATAATCAGGTGTGTGTGTTATAATCAGGTGTGTGTGTGTGTGTTTCTCACCTGCAGCAGTTGGATCTGGACGTACTGAGCTCCGGTCACAGGGTCTCTCAACGTCAGGCCCCCATTGGCTGCTGCTGCTCCGTCACCATAGCGACCAGCAGACGGCCCAGAGGCTGCTTTCCCTCCTTTACTCTTCCTCTGACTCGGCGCTGAAGCGCCTGAAGAAATACAAATTAAAATAACACACCGTCATCCCTCTAATGTCCCTCCTCTCTCCTCCATCACTGGACCCGGAAATCCATTGAGATATCCCAGTTGCTTAAATGCATGCGGAGGAGACAGGAAGTGATATCGCTACTGGGATATAGAAGCTCCGCCCCCATGATCTCTGCCAACATAATCCCCTCTGTTTCAGCCCCGTTTCAAAAGTGCTGATTCTCTGTCTGTTGCTTTAGATGAAAATAAGGAGCCCCTCCCCACGCCCCTCTGAGAGAGATTTGGTTACAAAGAAGACAATGGTGCTCTAGGGGGAGATTCAGGTGATAAGGTGGGGGGGGGGGGGGGGGGGGGGGGGGGGGGTTACCTTGGTTGGTGATTGGCTAATGGTTACACAAGCCAACACATCGTTATGACATCATAAAGTGGCCAAAATCTGATCAGCTCATTTTCAGACAGGTTTTTTAGATAAATGGATCAGGACAAAAAGAGAGAGAATCTTTGTTCCTGAAACTTTAAGAGTCTCTTTACACAGAGGGGACACATGTTGATGAAGAAGAGACATGAAGAAGAGGAGACACATGTTGATGAAGAAGAGACATGAAGAAGAGGGGACACATGTTGATGTAGAAGAGACATGAAGAAGAGGGGACACATGTTGATGTAGAAGAGACATGGAGAAGAGAGGACACATGTTGATGAAGAAGAGACATGAAGAAGAGGAGACACATGCTGATGAAGAAGAGACATGAAGAAGAGGGGACACATGTTGATGAAGAAGAGAGGACACATGTTGATGTAGAAGAGACATGAAGAAGAGGGGACACATGTTGATGTAGAAGAGACATGAAGAAGAGGGGACACATGTTGATGAAGAAGAGAGGACACATGTTGATGTAGAAGAGACAAGAAGAAGAGGGGACACATGCTGATGTAGAAGAGACAAGAAGAAGAGGGGACACATGCTGATGTAGAAGAGACATGAAGAAGAGGGGACACATGTTGATGAAGAAGAGAGGACACATGTTGATGTAGAAGAGACAAGAAGAAGAGGGGACACATGCTGATGTAGAAGAGACAAGAAGAAGAGGGGACACATGTTGATGAAGAAGAGAGGACACATGTTGATGTAGAAGAGACAAGAAGAAGAGGGGACACATGCTGATGTAGAAGAGACATGAAGAAGAGGGGACACATGTTGATGTAGAGGAGACATGAAGAAGAGGGGACACATGTTGATGTAGAAGAGACATGAAGAAGAGGGGACACATGTTGATGTAGAAGAGACATGAAGAAGAGGGGACACATGTTGATGTAGAAGAGACAAGAAGAAGAGGGGACACATGTTGATGAAGAAGAGACATGAAGAAGAGGGGACACATGTTGATGTAGAAGAGACATGAAGAAGAGAGGACACATGTTGATGAAGAAGAGACATGAAGAAGAGGGGACACATGTTGATGTAGAAGAGACATGAAGAAGAGGGGGACACATGTTGATGTAGAAGAGACATGAAGAAGAGGGGACACATGTTGATGTAGAAGAGACATGAAGAAGAGGGGACACATGTTGATGTAGAAGAGACATGAAGAAGAGGGGACACATGTTGATGTAGAAGAGACATGAAGAAGAGGGGGACACATGTTGATGTAGAAGAGACATGAAGAAGAGGGGACACATGTTGATGAAGAAGAGACATGAAGAAGAGGGGACACATGTTGATGTAGAAGAGACATGAAGAAGAGAGGACACATGTTGATGAAGAAGAGACATGAAGAAGAGGGGACACATGTTGATGTAGAAGAGACATGAAGAAGAGGGGACACATGTTGATGTAGAAGAGACATGAAGAAGAGGGGACACATGTTGATGTAGAAGAGACATGAAGAAGAGGGTTTTGCATAACAGGTGACCTTTAAACCGGACGTCTCTTACCAGAAGAGGCAGCAGGACCTCTCTGCTTCCTCTTCTTGGCCAGCTGGATGGCTCTGTAGTCCGTCCTCGCTGAGCCTCCACTCTCCTGATGAACAACAAGGAACAGACGTTAGTATAAGATTCAAGACTTTCATTGTCATGGTTACGTAGCTACAGTGTAGTTATGACAATGGAAATCTGAGGTCACAGGCTCCTCCAACAGAGCAACACAATACAACAGATAAAATAGTGCAAGTAAATACAAATAAAGTAGAATATAATAGAAGTAGTGCAAGGAGAGTATACATACAAGTAATTGGAATACACAGCATCCATCACACAGGCGTTTAACGGATCATAGGAACTACAATACAATATTTAAATTAGGGATGCCAGAAACTGACCATGATCAAATTCGAAAATCGGACAGCCCTGGCGAATACTAATCGATTATTCCCCCCCCCCCCCGCGGGAGGGAAAATAAAAAGTTTTTTCGCAGAGTTTGCATTTGACTTCATTTGCACTCGTCAGTTCGAAGTAGTTCCACGAGGAACTCTTCTTTGAACGTGCCGCTTTGCTCCTCTTTAGTTGTGTTGCACTCTTCAAGTTTACAGTAAAACAAACTGGTGGTGTGACCAAGGGCCATTTACAATTATTAATACTATTACTATTATTAGCATTAGTCTATATTTTGGTTGAAACTAAGCCAGGAAAAAAAAGAAAAACATAAATAATAATAAAAATATATATAAATAAAATCGAATTTTAAAAATAATTTTTGATTATGGAGACTGTAACAAATAATCGAATAATCGCTGGCATCCCTAATTTAAATGTTACATTCTGTTCCTGTACACATCATATTCTATTTACGTGTATATAGACTTCTTGCACTATTTTGTATTTCATTATATCTGTTGCATTGTTGGAGGAGCTCAGGTCAGAAGAATGTCATTGCCTTTTCTACACTGTAGCTTATGAGCACATGACAATAAAACCTCTGAATCTTGAATCTTTGAATCTATTCCGTCTGATAAAAGCAGATGCTAATGCCAGCTCCTAAAGAGAGGACACTTGTATATTAAAAAACGAACAAATACGTATTTATATTGAAGAGTAAACTCCTCTGACAGTCGGCCGCATGATGACAGCTTTAAAGAGGACTCATCTCAGGTTCGTGTTAGTATGTATTGTCTCTACTGTGACATGTTTACATGCTTTAATGTTCACAAAGTGTTTGTTTTCTAGCCTTTGCAGACACAGAAACCTATTTAACAAACTACTGGAAAGGGGAAACCCCAAAACGTATAATATGGCCTCTTTAAAACAAAAAGAAGGAAGCAGCATAACCACCAGACACACTGACTGTTTCATTGTCAATAACTTCCTTGTTTATAAAGAGTGAAACTATGCAGCTGTGTGTGTGTGTGTGTGTGTGTGTGTGTGTGTGTGTGTGTGTGTGTGTGTGTGTGTGAGAGAGAGAGACAGACAGACAGACAGACAGACAGACAGACAGACAGTGTGTGTGTGTGTGTGTGTGTGAGAGAGAGAGAGAGAGAGAGAGAGAGAGACACAGACAGACAGACAGACAGACAGACAGACAGACAGACAGACAGACAGACAGACAGACAGACAGACAGACAGACAGACAGACAGTGTGTGTGTGTGTGTGTGGTGCTAGTAGCGGCTAATGTTAGCTGCAGCAGAGATGATACACCTGTGATTCTGAATGGTCCACAGTATTGCAATACTACAAGTCAAAGCTGCTCCACCAAAGATTTCAGCTCCACCCTGGACCTACAATCAACCCAATGAAGCCGTCTCTGAGCCCAGTTAGGTCGTGAACAGTGAATATTAATTGTTTCCATCAAATCAGAGAAACAAGGTGCCACGATTTAATACGATTAGACTGTCGGACTCTTCAGTGCACCAGTCAATCAATCAATCAATCAATACAGTATTTGCGCCAGTAGGCATATGGTTTTTCACCAGGGGGAAGGAGGAAAGAATAAGGAACCTTTGTTCTGTGTTATTCTGGACTCTGGATATTTCTCTCTCTGGGGCCTCAGCAGCATTTCTTTTATCGAGTACATTTTCAGTAATATTTCTTTGCTTGTCGCCGCTACACCTCGTGTGAAAGTATAAGTTTGAAGTGTATACAACCTGTAATATTCTCTTAGTCTACAGGGCATTACACTATTGACTGCTTTGGTGCAAGGTAATGTGTCTCTTATACTGCTGGACAGCGATATCAGATTTCACTTCAACCATCTCCGTGTCTTATTGATTCCTCTTGGTCTTGTTCTTTAATGTTGTGTGTGTTACATCGGATCCACGACAGTTACACTGGGAAGTAGATTCAACATTCAAGGCTGTTACTGTCATGTGTGCGTAGCTACAGTGTAGGTATGTCAATGAAAAGCTGAGGTCACAGGCTCCTCCAACAGGGCAACACAATACAACAGATAAAATAGTGCAAGTAAATCAAACAGAATAGAAGTAGTTCCATAAGAGTCTATACACAAGTGATAAATCATTTGAAAGTATAAACGGTGTTCACACTCACCAGGAAGCCGCTGGGGGACCCCCCACTGAGCTCCGTCTCTTTCTGGGGGCTGAAGCTGCTGCTGTGCCCCGGAAACACAAACTGAGAGAGGACCTTCCCTCCCTCATCTGGCCCCAAAACCTCCACACAGCCCAGCAGGGGTCCCGTGCCCACCTGGCCCCCAACATCCACCACCTGGCCCCCCAAATCCACCACCTGACCCCCAACATCCACCACCTGGACCCCCAAATCCACCACCTTGGAGGGGGAGGATAGCAGCTCTGAGACGGGGACGACTTCCAGAGAGTTTGTGAGAGAGGCGAGGTTCCCTAAAGCCTCGGGGGAAACCGTCTGAACATCATCCAGGTTTAGAGTCACCTGAGGGGGCAAGACATCGCCCTCCAAACCGTGGTGCGGGGCCAAATCGGGGCCGGATGCCAGGCTAAGAGGGTCCACGGTTTTGGGGATGACGGAGGAAGAGGAGACGGAGTCTATGGTGAGAATCCCAGCGCTGACGAGAGACAGGTCCATGGTGAAAGTGCTGTTAGAGACTGAGCTCACTCCGAGAGCCGTGGGGGGGGCGGGGCCTCCGGGGACAGCTGAGAACAAGGAGCTGAGGTCCAGGTTGGTCAGCTGATCGCCTCCCGAAACACAGGGCCCGGCAACCGTTGCTGGGGCGGAGCTGATGAGCTCGCTGCTGGGGGTCAGAGAGGGCGTGGTCTCCATCTGACTCAGGATATCTGGAGGGGGAGGGAGACAGGAATTAAGTTAGCATTTACCACTTATGGTCCCCTTGTCTGGAAGGTTTGTTGTGGTAATAAGCTGGACAAGAGTCTGTTGTTTTGTTCTATTACATAAAACCAGTATCAGAATCAGGTTTATTACCAGGTAGGTTGACACGTACGAGGAATTTGACTTGGTGATTATTAGAGACTGCCTCAAAGGGAAGTATCTGTATGTTCTCCAGTGTTGACAATTTTTCACTACATTTGTTCAAACATATCTAAAAGTGTGTTTTTGGGGCAAAGAATGCTTGTAAATGTGGTGGTGTTTGTGATCACAAATGTCTCAGCTAAATACGTGTTAAAATACAAAGTGCCATTAATGATTCCAGCCGAACATCTTTGAGAACGACTCAGGGAACATTGTGTGTTACCTGGGCTCAGGTGGTGGTGTTTGATCATGTGACTCCTCATGGAGCTCCTGGAGCTGAAGTGTTTGCTGCAGTCTGGCAGAGGGCAGCGGCTCCTCAGAGCGCTGCTGCCGCCCTCCTGCTTGTGTTTCTTAGAGTGGATGTAGAGGCTGCTGCGAGCCGAGAACTTAGCATTACAGCCTGAACACAGAGAGAGACATGAGTTACTGTTCAGGAAGAGACATGAGTTATTGAACACACAGAGACATGAGTTATTATTCACACACAGAGACATGAGTTACTGAACACACAGAGACATGAGTTACTGAACACACAGAGACATGAGTTATTATTCACACACAGAGACATGAGTTACTGAACACACAGAGACATGAGTTACTGTTCAGGAAGTCAAGATAATAGATCACATTATAGTCTATTCAAATCGTGGGTTCATAAAGACGCATTTGGGCGCTGTCTGGTTACCTTCAGCGTGGCACTGGAAGGGTTTGGTGCCCAGGTGAGTGATGCTGTGCCCCTTCAGGTGCTCCGCCCGGGTGAAGGACTTCCCACATCCCTCCTCCGTGCAGACGAAGCGCCGGTCATCGTCGTGTTTCCTGAAAAACATAGGGAAGGGAGTGTGTGGTCAGTGAGAGGACGGACTTGTAAAAAACTACAATTTTGTTGCCAATAAATCAAAAATGCTTAATATTTGTGAGAAATTAGTCAAAAAAAGGTTATTTTTAAAGAAACTTCCAGAACACGCACACAGCATTGTTGCTCTTTATGTTGTAAACATCATGTTGGCAGTAAACGCAGAGGAATCTATTTCCTACTTCACTGGGTTTTTTGGCCGGGGGTCTCAAACTAAGACACCTCTACGGGAAGGTGCCTGGAAATGGGAGGATGCGACGCATGTAGTCGACAAAAATAATCTTAATTTTTGTATTTCGGCATCTGTTTAAAAAGAAAACATTGTCCGCTTTGCAACAAAAATGAAAAATACCCGCCAACTACTTCGATGTTAATGTTTGTCTGGAGACCCCTCGGGGGGGGGGGGGGGGGGAAGCACTGGGTTAGGTCAAAAGGCAAATCAGGTTAGCATAGTTCTCATTTGTCAGTAAATGTTGGAGTTCATCCAGTTTATATGAAGAGGAAAACAGAAGTGATTTACCGTTTATGTCGGAGCAGTTTGGACATGCTGGTGAAGGACCAGCCACAGCCGCCAGAGTCACATACAAACGGTCTCTCACCTGAAACAACAACAACAACAACAGGTAATTAGACGTTTATTATTTAGCAATGCACCCGTATTATTACGTTACATGTCACTTGTTAGACGCTTTTATCCACAGCGACTTACATACTCAATACTGTGGACAATCCCCACAGGAGCAATTTGGGGTGAAGTGTCTCAGGGACACAACGACATGCTGACTGCAGTGGGGTTTGAACCTGTGACCCCCTGATCCCAACACCTACGGACAACCCACTACGCCACACGCCTCTGTATCAGAGAGCTAAGCAACTGACTTTGGCCGTAGCCCAGGTTAGTTTACTTATCACCTTTCAGACACAATGAAATGCAAAGTGCTTTCCGTCTCTGGAAAAGCAGCAGGACAAAGAAAGGTGTAATGCCTTCATTTAAAGGACTCAGAAGATGCATATGCTTGCTTTTCAGGAACTAGCTTAGGAATGTAATGTTTTGAAAACAAGCAGCTGAGAGCAACACATTTGCAGCATCATGTGATGGAAGAATGACTTTCTCTCCCAGCCTGAAAACATCTCTGAGAAGAGCTGAACAACAGAGAGGGTTTAATAATCCCACTGATGTTGATCCAGTGTCTCAAAGCCTCACCCGTGTGACTCCTCATGTGGATCTTGAGGCGGCAGGCCTTGTCGTACGTCTTGTCGCAGCCGGGGAAGGAGCAGGTGAAGTGTCCCGTCTCTCTGAAGTGAGTGCGGTTGTGAGAGAACAGAGCGCTGAAGGTGATGAAGGTTTTCTCACAGCCTGAACGTGTAGGGAGACAGTGGAAGATGGTGTTAGGAATAAAGCATCAGACTGATAGACAAGCATCATTTATACTGGGGTCGCTGGGGGACATGTCGCCACCCATTTGCATTAGGATAGCTTGTTTAAAATGTTCTGAAGATAGCGTACACAAAAGAGTTGTACACTTGTGTTGTTATCATGCATGTGTGTGTGTTGTTTGTGGGGGCGCTTAATGCAGTAGTGTTTCTTTTCAATCTGAAAGAAGTGTCTTCATGCTTACCAGGAATGTAATGTGTAAATAGACTATCATGAAACACACCTTCCTTTGAGGGGATTTGCTTCATAACAAATGTAACCGTTGAGCTGTTTTATGGCACCAGAGCTTCAGCCAACACCCGATGGCGTATACTCACAAATAAAAGGCAAGATACATTCAAATCCACATTGTGTTACCTGGGAATTCACACTTGTGGGGTCTCTGGGGCTCGAAGTGGACCCTCTGATGGATTGTGAGTCGTGTGGCGCTGCGAAACCTCTCGCTGCAGATCTCACAGGTGAAGGCGTTGTCCTGTTCGTGAACCTTAACGTGAGCCTTCAGGTTGTAGACGGTGGTGAAGCGCCGCCCGCAGCCTTCAAACTGACAGGTGTGTGGCCTCTGCTTGTCATGGGACTGAAGGTGCCTTTTTAGTTTGTAAGAAGTGCCAAAAGCCCACCCACAGCCCTGCACCGTGCACTGATACGGCCTCGGGTCCTCAGCGTGGTTCAGAAGATGCACTTTCAGTTTCTGACGTGAATCAAACGTGAAAGCGCAGCCCGGTTCTGGACACCCAATGGGCACCAACGTGTCTTTTTTGGACCTTATGAGGGGTAACGACTGGAAATCAGCATTATCACAATCTGTGAGTGAGTTTTTAGGGCACGGGTTGACCAGATCTGCCTCAGTGACAGCACACACACCCCCTGCCTCCTGCTTCACAATAGCACCCAAAGAAGTGCCATGATCTGATAGAGAGCAATCATCCACCAGAGCCAGATCTGACTCACTGACAGACAAACCAGCTCTGGGTTCTTCCTGCTGATTGGTCACTGCTAAGGTGCTGATTTTCCCAATGGACTTCGTGCCACTGTCGTAGTTCAGCAGCACAATATCCTCATGGTCCTTCATGCCCAGGTGCTCCTTTAAACTCACCATGTCGTCCTCCTTGTGCACATATCCCTCCGGGGGGGCAGCCAGAGTGAGAATCCCGTTCTCTATAGTCACTATGATGCTTTGGTTGTTAATGGTGATGGTTCCGGAGAAGGTTTCCCCAGCAGCAGCAGATCCAGGACCAGTGGAAGAGGCCGTGTTTACACCCTCCTGCTGCAGCCCTGAAATAAACCCCGAGGTGTCCATGGCTTCACAAGAAGAAGACGATGAAGAAGATGACGAAGAAGAAGTGCCTGAAATCAATGCATGTGACGTCACCCCCCTGACCAGTTTACTCTCGTTGTTTTCCGTGCAGATCTGACCGCAGATCTTATCGCCATATTTGTTTGTGAGAACCACGTCTTCCACGGTGTGATGGTGCTGGTTGTTCACGGTGTCGTTCAGGGAGAGCAGGTTGAAAACATGGTCCGTTTTCTTGTCCACACAGTCGTTAGGATCACACAGAATACCCTCACTGTTTCCTGCCTCCATGGAGCACAACTCGGCTCCTTTACCTTTCATTTTATCTCTTTCCTCAGAGGACACATCCGGTGTGTGTGTGGCTGCCTCATCGTCTTTAAACACAACACACACACTTCCTCCGGTGGGGTTTATACACGTCCAGTTCGCGGTGCTGGTCTCCCCGGTGCAGGGTCTCTGTTTCTAGGGGAGAACAATCTGTTTTCAGACCGAAGAGTTCTACATTCTACATAATGGCTACTGAGGCTTCTTCTTCGTCTGCTGCTTTAGCGGTAGCTTGCATCAAGTGTTGTTTTGAACTACTGCCCTCTAGCGGTGAGTTTTCATAACACATGCGGATCTTTTTATTATTTGACTTTATTTATGTCACTTGAATAGACCCTTAAACAGAGGTGGGAAGTAGTGAAGTACAAATACTTTGTTACTGTAATTAAGTACATGTTTCTGGTATCAGTACTTTACTCCACTACTTATTTTTCGACGACTTTTTACTTTGACTTCTTACATTTTGAACACAAATACCTGTACTTTCTACTTCTTACATTTTAAAAAACAGGCTGGTTCCTTTAGTTTGAATGTGTGTTTGGTGGCGTGATCATTATTATTTAGAATCATTGCGTGCCTATTGATTTTAACACGATCCGTGTATCCATCACTTCCTGACTCTAAATACGCACCTTTTTTTTTTCAGACTCTCTAAATAGCCCTAACCCATCGCCACAAATTAATGTGGAGGAGCCAGCTACCCGCAATAAAAAGTGGCGACAGATAACCCACAGGTACCCAGAGGTGTAAAGTAACTAAGTACAACTTTGAGATACTTACTTAACTTGAGTATTTCCATGTTATACTACTTTGTACTGCTACTCCACTACAGCTCAGAGGTAAATGGTGTACTTTTCCTTCACTACATGTATTTAATACCTTTAGTTACTTCACAGATGTGGATGAATGATGTGAAATATAATCAAGTGTTAAATCAGACTTTAGTTCCACCTGGAGTAAATCCACAAGCTACCCTGCAGTATACAAAGTCATTCAAACTAGCTGCACCTTTACCAGCTTTGAGAACACTTTAATGATCAATCATTATAAAACATATCATATATATTATTCTGAAATGGACCAATCTGCACAATGACTACTTTTACTGTCGCTACTTTCACTATATTTTGATGAGAATACTTTTATACTTTTACTTGAGGAATATTTTGAATGCAGGACTTTTACTGTAACAGAGTATTCCTACACTCTGGTACTTCTACTTTTACTGAGTACAATATCAGAGTACTTCTTTTACTCAAGTACAAGATCTGAGTACTTCTACTTTTACTCAAGTCCAAGATCTGAGTACTTCTACTTTTACTCAAGTACAAGATCAGAGTACTTCTTTACTCAAGTACAAGATCTGAGTACTTCTACTTTTACTCAAGTACAAGATCTGAGTACCTCTGGTTGTAAATGATTGTTTTTAATGTAGTTTCTATTGGTGTTAGATGTAAACTGTTTATTTTATGTTATCTATACTGTATTTGCACTATTCAATGTTATTAACCGAAAATAAGTGCCTTAAATGTTGTAAATTTGACACAGAGGTCAAAGAAGAAAATAAAAACACAAAAAACCTGACAACATTCATCTGAACCAGAGCGATGAGTTATTGATTTGTAATACCGGTGATATTTACTTACTGCAAGTGTAAACATGATTATCGTCCATGGGTGTAGTTTTTTATTTTTTATTCAAAGACATAATTAACCTCATATGGGTTCATCAGGGGTAGACATATGAGGTAAGTAAGAATTACATAAAATGCCAGTCGTCAATCGATTTTCAAACCCATTTGACATTTATTTAACCACGCCCACTTCAGCCGTAACGTAACTCTGCGTGATTGCGTCATGACGTTTAAAGAGAACGTCCCCATGTTTTTATTTAATTTTTTTATTGACAATTATTTTACAAACCCTCAAGGCTCATTGTAACAGTAAAGAATGTAACTTGGTGTTGATAAAGTGCAAAAATACAAATAACATACAGCAAAAAAAAAAAAAAATAAAATAAATAAAATGTTTCTGCTTTACGAAAATGTGCGGGTAACGTCCCCATGGTAACCCACAATATTTCTGTTATTCGAACAGGTCCCGGCCTACAAGCAGTATTCTACCGACTTAAAACATCCAGGTTTGGTACAGAACACATATCACATATCAAAATGAAATAAAGATCCTGTCCCTTAATTGTTGTTACAGCAGAAACCACTGGGTGGTGCCAGAGACCGTGCAGGCTTCAGAAGGTGTGCCATGCACAGTAAATAGTGAGATTGATAACTCCCATTATTCCCCATAATATCTCAGCCTGGTATTGTTTGTGAGTCTGTGTGTCTTCAAAATGTGGTGCTGTAGCAGGAACTACCACAGAGGAGTTTAAAGGTATACTTTTCCAGGTGCTCATGTTTCTGGACACATCTGTCACATTGATAGCAGATACATGTACAGTCATGACTCTTTACAGATGAGTGGTTGTGGTCAGAGTAAGGAGACGGAGGAGACTTTACAGCCCTTCTTTTGTGGAGTTACACCATGTGTACATTAAAAAATAATATATGTACAAATATAATCAAGATTCAAGGCTTTTATTGTCATTTGTACATAGCTACAGTGTAGTTATGACAATGGAAATCTTAGGTCAAGACTAAAATTAGTTAATATGAGTCCCATAAGTCATTCAAGTCATCAGAAGCTCAGAGGATGTTTTATTCAAACATTTGGACATAAATGTTAACCCCTAAATCACGGGATGAACCCTTCAGTGCATCAGAGATCAACATTAAAGGGCCCATGTCATGGCCATTTCCACTGATCATAATTACATTGTTGAGGTATACTAAAATAGATTTATACTGTGCAATTTTCCAAACTCACATTGGTTTCGCATACAGCATCTCTGTCAAGCATGTGTATTCAGCAGTATTCACTTTCTCCACTAAACGACTCGTTGGAGCTCTTGCCCCCCCCCTCCCTGTGAGCCTAGTGTGCTCCGATTGGTCAGCTCGGCCACTCGTTCTGATTAGTCAACCACCAGAGAGGCTGCGCCCATGTCAGTGCTTTTCCCGGCTGCTCTCAGCGTAACATCAGTCTTATCATGGCGTCGGTACAGCGGTATATTTTATATACATATATATTTTTAACTGTTGTTATAGAAGAGTGTGACGGCCTCAGGGCCTTTGTCTTACGGTGGGGTGGAGCTGAAGAGGGTAATCAGCGCGATCACGGACACCTCCGTAGCCGGTGCTATTAATCCCAGCGGCCCGGAGTCTCTCTCCAAAGCGGCTGCAGAAGGACGAACTGAGCGACCCTCTCCCCTCGACCACCTGTCTCTGCATTTACTACAATAAATGTGCCGTGGTTTTGTAAACTCGTGTATGTCTCCTTGCCTTTCCGTTGTGGCCTACGAGCTACTCTCATAACAAAGAGTAAGTTATTTTTACCCGTTATAAACTACTACTGTTTGATGAGAAATCAAATCATGGTTTGCTATATATGAATTCAGGGAAGAAAGGATAGGCCTACTAAGTATTTCCATTAAACTTTATTTTTAGAAATGTACAAAATGAACATAAATATACATATATACACGGTATATCATCCATTCCTCCTCCTCGCATCTTGCCTGCGCACAGTCGGTGCGGTGCCTTTTAGCACCCTCAGTAGTAGTAGAATCCCTTCCCCGTCATGGATTGTCCGCCAGGATCTGGCTGGACGAAATCAAATGCAAATCACAAAATATTAGAGAAACTTAGTTGTTTTAGATTCGTTAGTAGTAGTTGTGTAATGAACAGCTTGCCTGCTAATATGCTAACCTAGCTTTGTTTACCTTGGTAGCTAACACGATATGAACGTTAGCTTGGAGGAAAGGCAACTATAATGCAGTGTAATAAAACTACTATGAACAAAAGCTAGTGGTTCATATTAGGCTAGCAATAACGTGTTTATAATTGCAATCGTATACGGGTATTCTGCTACGTTCGGTCATACAATGTAACTTGCATGAATACATTGTTTTGCGCTAGCATACAGCTAGCCTCGTTAGCTACATGCAGTATATGTACGGTCACAATGTACGGTAAATCACAGTACAGTATACTGTATGAGTATTCCGTGTGTGTGACTGCAGACATTCTCCTGCCATGACAAACATGTAAGGCCATCTGCTGACATTGTAGTTGATATATTTAAACGCTAGCAACGTAGCATCACAAAAATGTTTTTCTGACCGAAACTAGCTCTAGCTCCGTGTGTTAGATCGCTACGCCAGCTATAATGTAATTACGTTTCGCGACTGACCGGCAAATCACCCGGAGTATACTGTCAATAGGTATTTTGTGTGTGAATGCAGACATTCTCCTGCTATGAGATACATGTATGCAAGGCCATCTGCTGATATTAGAGTTGATATATGGAAACTCTAGCAACTTAGTTAGCACTGTGTCAATGGCTTAGCAGTCCAACACAGTTTACACATTTAAACAGTCTTGTTTGATAAATACACAAATAACAATGCAAACTTACAGGTTGTATACCCAGATCTTCCCCTGCTCCAAACGGTTCAAACAAGCTGTGCATATCCGGCCTCAAACTGGGCAATGTTTTGGAAGCTTTCGTCTGTGAAATGCCGGTTCTTCGAACCTCTGGAGGAGGAACACGACGCTGCTGGTGTGGCCATAGCTCTTCGGGATTGGTCCATTTCGTTCCGGGTACCGCATGACATCAGGCGGTACCCGGAACTAAATGGAAGACTCAAATGGGCAGTGACGTATCTCCAACGAGGCGTTTTGGGGAGGTATTTTCTGTGTTAGAGTTTTACTCGCTACAGGGTGTACTTTGAGGGTTTTGACTCTGCACACCGTTTACATGCATAAAAACCTTCATAACACACAAGGGGACGGGTAATAACCGGAAAAGCATGACATGGGAGCTTTAACACATATTTAGATATACTAAAAACAGTTCAAGCATCACAGTAACAGCAGGTCATCATTCAGCTGATATACTTTGGATTAGCACTTTAAGAACATCACAAACAACAAGCTCGTAACAAATAATGTCAATACAAAAATATAAAATAAGTCACATTATATTCCAGCTTCAGAGAACATTTCTTTACAGCAGCTTCAGATCAGAGAGAGTTTCTGTGAATGCCGCCTCTACATCCTTTAAGAACTACAAGCAGCAGGAGAGCATCTGTTAAAGGACTACAACTATGGAGCTGTTAGAGGACTACAACTATGGAGCTGTTAGAGGACTACAACTATGGAGCTGTTAGAGGACTACAACTATGGAGCTGTTAGAGGACTACAACTATGGAGCTGTTAAAGGACTACAACTATGGAGCTGTTAAAGGACTACAACTATGGAGCTGTTAAAGAACTACAACTATGGAACTGTTAAAGGACTACAACTATGGAGCTGTTAAAGAACTACAACTATGGAGCTGTTAAAGAACTACAACTATGGAGCTGTTAAAGGACTACAACTATGGAGCTGTTAGAGGACTACAACTATGGAGCTGTTAAAGAACTACAACTATGGAGCTGTTAAAGGACTACAACTATGGAGCTGTTAAAGGACTACAAATATGGAGCTGTTAATGCGTCCCTCATTCATCCTTCACTCTCTGAAGGACAGAAGCTGAGGACTAACTGACAGCATGCAGGTGTTTCACAGCTGAGGATCAGAATGTAGTTTTATACAGGATTACATGATTTTACTCTTACTTGAACTTTTCTTCTACTGAAATGTTTGATATTTGACCTGTGAACCCTAACCAGCTCTTAACTCTCTGAAATGAATAAGGAGCAGATAACATGTCCTCACATATCACACAGTACAGTGTACAACACACAGTGTGAACACACACACACACACCTCAGCACAGGTGAACCCGGTGACCTTTCTGACTCACTGATCTGACTCACTGATCTGACTCACTGATCATACTCCAGTAGGATTTTATCCTCAGGAGGATCAGCTACAGAATCTGCAGGAAGCGTGTCTTGGGAGGAAGTCTTCCTCTGTTCATCTTCAAGCTTCTCTATCTTTTCTGCAGGGAGGAAAACAAAACGATATTTAAGAAGACCCCACGTGACTTTAGGATGCTCCGGTGAATACCAGCAATTAATAAAACAACTAATGTTGAATCTGTTGATGTAAACATTATTTAAACCTACCGTTAAGTTGATTTAGTTTGGTGCGATCCTTGGATACAACCCGAGTGTGAACAACAACTACACCAACAAGAACCACGAGAACTACAACAAAACCAGCACCGAGAACTGCAGAAAGAACAATCCATCCAGTGTTCGACCCTAAAGAGAAAGCTTCATGTTACTCAGACGGTCAGAGCAAGTTGTTCTCATCAGATTAAAGCTCTCAGTCAGAGAACATCTGAAGCTGAGCTCTGCAGAGAAAACAGAGACGTTCACTCAACACACACTTTCCTCTACAAATTACACGAGTATGTCCATTTAGTTTTGATGTATACTCCAAAACATGTCAGATATTCAGTGTTTGACTGCATCTGTCAGATATTCAAAGTCCCTTTGATCTGACACATTGAAACATGTGATCATCTTATAACATGTGATGCTAGTTTGCTGATTCTCTAATGACTAAAGTTTACTGTGAGTGTTTCTACAGAGAGGTTCTGCTCCTCCTCCTGAACTACAGAAGGTCCTCCTCCCTGACTGCAGCTCAGTGAAGAGCAGATTCACATCCTGATGTTTCTACAGAGGGGAACTCACTCTGGGTTTATGCAGCAGAGCCTCCAAACACAAATACACTTCCACTCATTCAGAAAACTCTATAAAGAACATGTAGATTCTGCTCTGAGGACACGTGGACTCACTGAGGGAAACACTCAGGGCTCTACACACATTCACAAAGAATCAAGTCTAACACAGTTACTATTCTCTTAGCTTTCAGTTAAATATTAGATTAGTTAAAATCAGGACTATCCTGATCTCTTCTCTGATTCTTCTCCTAAAATACAAAAGAAAACATGTCAGAGTGATTGGGAAAACAAAAGAGGGAACACTGGAAACAAAATACATATCATTTATTGGTAATGTTTCCTCCAACCATCTGAAACTGACTGGTGGTTAGACCCTGATGAGACCCTCGTGGTGTTGGATCTGATTGATGAGCATCTAGACTCAAACCACGCTCTCTGATGTCATGTATCTGACAGCAGCTGATACTCAGATCAGATCCTCAGCTTGTGTTGATGTTGGAGTCGAGCTGCACGACACGTCTCCATGTCTTCTGTCCTCAAAGTCTCCCTGTGTTTAAAGCCAGTGAATGGAACTCTGAGAGAAAGTGAACGTGGTCTTCATGTTTCATCTCAGCTGTAGAACGTCTCAGTGATCAATGACTAACATGTTTCTAAGAACGCTGAATTCAGACTGAACTCAGAGTTCCTGTTGGTCTCCATTTGGTCTGAGAGGGGAGCTGTTGGAGGGGTTTACAGTGTGTGTGTGTGTGTGTGTGTGTGTGTGTGTTGTGTGTGTGTGTGTGTGTGTGTGTGTGTGTGTGTGTGTGTGTGTGTGTGTGTGTGTGTGTGTGTGTGTGTGTGTGTGTGTGTGTGTGTGTGTGTGTGTGTGTGTGTGTGTGTCTCTTTATCATCTCAGCCTCTCTCAGTCTTCCTCTCATCTCTGCACATTGATGAAGAGGAGGCTCAGAGTTTCAGATTCAACTTTCCACTCAGATTGAAACCATTGTAACTCCTGCAGAGGTCTTCATCACAACGTCTGGTGCTGAGAGGAAATTCACTTTGTGTTCAGTCTGAAGACACATTTAAATATTATTAAATTACACAAAAAGAGAATAGGGAGAATCTCACCACTGAGAGACACGTAGATGTGTGCAGGTTTACTCTGATGCCTGATCTCCTCCTGTGAAGCTACACACTGGTAGCGGTCAGTTTTGGTGACAGTAATGTTGAGGATCACATCGTAGCTGCCTCCTCTCTCTGAGACCTGAGGCTCCTCAGTATTAAGAGTGTTTCCAGAACTGTCCGTCCACTGGAGGAGAGGTTTAGGGAAAGCTCCATTAACTTCACACTGTAGTAGCGAGAAGTCCTTTGTTTGATCAATAATTGTGACAGAGGGTTTTGAAGCTGCACCTGGGAACATAATGGAAACAACAGATGATGCTCATCTCTTTGCTTGTAAATGGTATTTAGATCATGTTTAAGATGAAATAAAAACACATGAAGCCCTGACAATATAAATCTGAATTTCCCATCCCATCATTATCTCATACTTCAAACAATTCGAACTAAAGTTTGGTAACTTTTAAGTTCAGTTTCTGAGTTTCCTCCTCTGCTAGCTTGTGCCTCTTAGCACATCTGCCTTCTGATTGGTTGTGCCTTGAAATGTCAGCAGTAAAAAAGGTCAAAGTTGAACTCATTAAAATGCTGTGCTGAAAATATTGTGTTCACCTGCATCCATGTTCGATAGTATAGTTGATGCAGTCATATATGTCTGTCTGATATTCCAGGTTGAGTTTATCACACATCCCTCAGTCAGGAGATGATGCTCTTGTTAAACATTATGTATATCATTCAGGTCAGTGAGTGGTGGAGTGGTGCTGGACTGTGACTTATATAGAAGCGATGTAATCCAGTACAACACCACCACTAACTATGATCCCAATAATAACCATGTAATGTTATCATGAAGTCAACAAACCCTGTGTGACAGTGAAGAGGTGAAGAAACCACATCTGGGCACTACATTTAGTTTTTTTGACGTGATGGTGAATATATTGTGGGTTTTTTTTATACCAAAGGGTCGCCGGTTCACGTCCCGATCAAACCAAATACGGAGTGTGGACTGGTACCTGGAGAGGTGCCAACTATTAACCAGTGTGTGTAACGTGAGGGAAAAAGTAATTCCTCCGTTGGGGATTAATAAATTTTATCTTCTTCTTTATTATTATTATTATTATTATTATTATGTGTCATGCTTCACAAAACTTCTCAATGTTCATGATGGAGAAGTTTGGCTCTCTAACTCTTGTATGCAACATGTGAGATGAGACTGCACATCATGTTCAGCTCAGTCATGTGTACGTTAATGTATAATCACAGCTGTAGAAAGTCACCATGATTAATGATTAAAGGACACCTATCATGCTATATTTAAATGATATATTGTAGGGCCATACCTATATAAGGTATATTTATACGTTTCTGTTTTCAAAATACCAAACAGATCATGCATTTTAGCCATGCCTCATTTCGCTCTATGTGCTGTTTGCTGTCTACGGGTCTGATTCTGCTGACCACGCCCCCCTGCAGGAGAGGGGAGACGTGCTCTGATCAGCTGCTGGGCTGTCAGAAGAGGGGGAGAAAAAGAGATCTCCGTCCTCCGTGTTTTATTATATAGAGTCGTTATTCATTTGTTTTAAAGGTCAATAAATAACAAAGAAGACCTTTGACCGGCACTTTTCTAATTTTGTCCGGAAGATTTAAACTTTAACGGACATCTTGACCGGCGAAACAAACTGAAACTGAAACTCTGCCGCACGGTCCCCTCGTTCCTTGGAAGAGGCGGAGAGGTGGGTGTTTGTCATCTGCTGGTGGACTAACCGGAGAGAATTACAGTGCTTGCCTCGACGGGGAGGGATTGCATTGAATTAAAGCAGCGGGAGCAAACGCTTGCCTCAGGGAGGGAGAAAGAAAGCCACAGCGGAGAATAAACAGAAGGGTAACCATGGTAACCAAGTCTTCTTCGCTGCTTTTGTGGCAGACTACAGCGCCACTTACAGGCCTGGCATATGTACTACAGCGTCTCCAGCGCTTTCGAACGGCAATGGCCGTGGCTGTCTCCTCCTGATTGGTGGAGTTGGGCCAATAGCCGTAGCGCCACCATCCTGACGTCAGGACAGTGTTCAAATCTGGATCAGTTTTTATCAGATCCGTTGCAGCCCCTTTTTTAGAGATTTGGGTATGGAGGAAAATAGAGAGGGTTGTGTTTTCTGACACCTGGTGAGTTCCCTGGAACACCAGGGACACATATTCATGTATAAAAGACGTACAAAAGTGCATTTTGCATGATAGGTCCCCTTTAACATGATTCTACTAAATCAAATCAAATCAAATCAAATCAGGTTTTATTTATAAAGCACATTTAAAAGCGATTTTTGGTCGAGCCAAAGTGCTGTACATGTAATAAAAACACATTACTACAATCACAATAAAAGACAATAAATTACAACAGATATATATAAAAAATAAAATAAAAAATAAAAACACAAGGAAAAGTCAGGAGTCGTGCTCCGCTCTAACTAGAAAGCCAGAGAGAAGAAGTGTGTTTTTAGTGTAGATTTAAAAAACCCTAGGGTCTGGGCCTAAATGTACTAAAGTACATTCAAAGTGAACACAGAGTGAAATGTGTTTCCATTTGTTCTGTGAATTTGACAGAATTTATTTGCAGTGTGTTCATTCACCAAAACCTCTCAACAATTAAAAGTATTTGAATTTAAGAAACTCACCGCTGATATGCACGAGGGTCTCAGCAGAAATCTGATGCTTGATCTCCTCCTGTGAAGCTACACAGCTGTAGTTGTCTGTTTTGGTCACAGTAGTGTGAAGGATCACATCGTAGCTGCCTCCTCTCTCTGAGACCTGAGGCTCCTCAGCAGGAAGGATGTTTCCAGAACCGTCCCACCACTCCACTTTAGGTTCTGGATGAGCTCCATGAACTTCACACTGCAGCCGCGCCCAGGAGTTTGATTCAGCAATGATTTTGACATGAGGCTTTGGTGATGCACCTGTAAAGATATAAACTATATTAAAAAAGGACAGCGACTGGAAAGAATAAAAGCCTTTTTTCTTTCAAAAGTTTAGTGATTTGGAGAGTCTTGAAGAGCTGACTGCGAGTTATGTTAATATGTTCTATGCTACCGTTTGAATTATGGAAGATAGCAGTGTCATTTGGTTTAATTGATCTTACTGTATATATTGGTTATAGGAAAAAAGTGAATAGAAAAAATAGTTTTAAATACACATGAAACAAAGTTTATAATTTTGCAAATTAGGATGTTCTAAATTATGCTAAAATCAAAAGATTTCAAGACAGATTATAAATTATTCTGGAAAATGGGTAATCATGTCAAATCTATACGTATTACAATCATCTGTATAACTGCAGTTTTCTATATTCAATCACAATGGTTTTTTGTACTAATATATTGATTAGCAAATAGGGTAAACTACACTATAAAAACACAGTATTGTAAAGCCCAATACTAAATAGTGTCGCTTTTGATTAGAAACCAAAGACACATACAGGTATATATATCTTCAACACTAAATAATTACGTATAGTTTATATTATTACAATTTTGCAAACAGACAATGAACTCCATTTGTTCAAAAGAGTGATGAATAAAGTTGCTTTGAATATCAGACCTGAGAGGTGGAGAGTGACGTCGTAAAAATCCAGACTCACCTGGGATGGTTCTGACAGTTAACGTTATAAAGCGCGGAGGTTGCAGACGACCCGAGATTTACGTGTAAATAACAATAAATAAATAAACTACAGAATTTCATATTACTGTATAAGTCATAAAAAACAAACGATACCTTGTTTGAAACCTAAAATGCTCGTCTTTTCAACGAATATAACTGCGTAACTACAGAAGTAAGAACATTTAAACCGTTGCGTTTTACTTTACGGCAGTAAACCGTTAGCTGCTTACCGGCTATTCAATCTAGTCGTGGTTAAAATGTGTTTAAAGCTCCAAAAACGCACATTTATAGACAAAAACGGTCTCGTTTTAAAGAAGAAAACTCGACAGATTAAATGTACCTTGTTTCAGTGTAAGCGGCAGTCAAAAATATGGTGAATAAAAGTCATTTGTGTCCCTCGTTGAGTTTTAGCTCCGCTAGTCAAACTTTCAAAACAACTTTATTTCTGTAAATTTAAAGTATTGACAAAGTATTCAACTAATGATGTTCGGTATCTCTGAAATCAGTTAACGCCCCCGAACAAAATGAACCAATCGGCATCTTTCTACGAACTAAAGTGACGTCATTAACAGCCCTTTAACTCAACCAGCCAATCACAGGCGAGCTTCTTGACGTGCGCGCCATGAGTTTCTTATTGACAGCTACTTCCATCCAATGGTAAGCAAGCATTCTGAAAACACGGTGAGCTTGTAGCCAATTATATTACCTGTTTGACCATATATGGAAGTGAATGAAGCTGGACTGTCTGTGGCAGTAGGAGACCCACATAACAGAGAAACTTTACTTATATGTTCATGGAGGCAGGATTTAATGATTATAAATATGTTAATATTTATTAAAATGTTAACAACGTCATTTTAAGGTCAGATCTAACACTTAGGGACATTTTTTCATAATTAAAAAGAGATTTGTTATCATTGTTTGGTAACTTTAAATAAGTTTAGTAGAGCTATTGAGTCCTCTGCTGGAGGTGATCTGTACTGCACTTTCTAAAATATCTCAGAGCCACTTCTGTCGATCAACTTAAAACGTTGTACAGACATTAAAGACAAGTTAAGGTAGATATCCTGTAAATATTAGCCTGATGGCTCTTATTATGACTGATTTACTGTATTTGAAATACGAAATAAAAGTAGAATAACAAATAATGTCTTCGTTTTTCCATTAAGTCCTTCAATGCACAACCTGTGTTAGTGCTACAAGGAAGACTAACACACTACATGAAAGCTTAGAGATGAATTAACAATGAGGCAATGGATATATTTCAGTACCTCATGACCTTGTTAATAATAAGAGGTTCAAATTGGAGCATATAAAGAGGCATACATGTGCATAACTGTGATAAGCCTCAAGAGGTTAAGATA